TATGTCTGTCTCTGTCTCTGTCTCTCTCTGTCTGTCTCTTTCTGTCTCTATGTCTGTCTCTGTCTCTGTCTCTCTCTGTCTGTCTCTTTCTGTCTCTATGTCTGTCTCTGTCTCTGTCTCTCTCTGTCTGTCTCTCTGTCTCTGTCTCTCTGTCTCTGTCTCTGTCTGTCTCTCTAACTCTGTCTCTGTCTCTGTCTCTCTTTATCTCTCTGTGTCTCTCTATCTCTGCCTCTCTACCTCTGTCTCCCTCTCTGTCTCTGTCTCTCTCCCTCCTTTTCCTACAGGAAAATAAGAGTGTGCCTTCCAACGTTGTCCAAATTATATCAGATTTTTTCTTTGAGCTTCAAAATCATATTGGAAATGTGTGACTGTACTGATACTTTTCCTCAACTTTTCTTTTGCAGTAAAGGCGAGGAAGGGAAGAGAGTGAGAGGCTTCCAGCTGGTTAATAAGTTTATGAGATCTTTCCTTTCGCTTCCAGTCACAGCGTGTTTGAAGTGCATGGATAAGATTACCAGTTATTGAAAGATAAGAAAATTGTTTTAAAATTGTTCAAAGTCCCATCTTTTTCTTCAGCCAGAGTAACTCTTTAAGTCCTATGCCTGTCTTTCTGAATTGTTACTCTACATAATATTTTTAAGTGCTTAAACGTGGTAGAAAGCACTCAAGGAAAGACACAATTGTCACAAATTAAGACTAAACAGTCATTGTGCTTACAAATAACAAACAAAAATCCATCCAAATTTTGCAAGAGTAGCTTCTAGGGACATCCATGAAATGATTGTCATTATCTTACAAACTGCATGTAGCACAATGAAAATGTGGTGGAAACTTAGAAGTTTTGTGTGGGTCTGGGTAAGTGGTGGGATTCAAAATTTACTACTACTGGTTATTGCAGGAAGCTGCAATTTGTTGATGTATCTTATAAAATTCTTGGACATGGTACCAAGTGCCCCAATGACAATGGGTATCACTGTGACATGTTTCATCCATAGCCGCGTAGTTTCGATGGCCAGGTCGCAGTATTTCATGATTTTTTCCAGGATCACGTGTCCGTTATTTCGTTATGTTGTGACACTTTTACATCTCTGCCCACTGCTGGAAGTCATCATTATGAGATGGACACCTACTGTATATAAACTGTTTATTCCACATTTCA